GTGTAAAAGCTTTAAAACAAACCTTCCTCCAGTTGATTCACTTTTTTTTTACAATTAATGCTTGAACTGACAATCAAGAACATCATAACAAAGTCAGACAGATCTTTAAAAAGAGCAATAATTTACATAGTCATAAGAAAAAATATCTAAAACCACATACAAATAATACAAGGGGAAATATAAAGGGAAAATATTAATACAATTAAAGTATTAATAATAATAATAATAATAATAATAAAATTACTAAATTAAACAAATGAATGAAATTAGAATGACACATTAACAAATAACTGTAAGGAAAGCAACTAAAATCGAGAATCTTCTTTAAATACATCTGCATAATATTTCAGGAATCTTAGATTTTTTTAATTCTTAATAAGATAAAGTGATTTTAGGAGGGAAATAAATTCTATTCTAAAATGAACAAAGGGTGGGTAATTATTTGTGAATTTTTGTTTGTGAATGTAAAATTTGCCATATAAGATAAAAAAAAAATGTATGATGTGTTCCAGATATTTAGCTTTTGGGTTATTATAATAAAAATTGTCTTTTAGATTAAAGCAATTCACAGCATTGGCAGAAGCAGATATATGAGAATTTAGAAGTGACCAAAATTGCTTGGATATTGGACAATCAAAAAACATGTAGTAGTGCAGGTGTGGCCAACCCTGTTTCTGGAGAGCCACCTTCCTGCAGATTTTAGTTGCAACCCATATCTAACACACCTGCCTGTAATTATCACGTGGTGTTTAGGTCTTAGTTAATTGCTTCAGGTGTGTTTGATTTGGGTAACACCTGAAATCTGCAGGAAGGTGGCTTTACAGGAACAGGGTTGGCCACCCCTGTAGTAGTGTTTCCTCTACTTGTTTGCAGAAAGAACAGGAGCTGTCGATGTCCAAAAAACTGTAAATACTAATTTTTACAGGTTAGATTTTATGGAAAATTTTAAAATGCATTTCTTTTGCCTTGTTGGAAAATACAATATTTCCCAGGTAAAAGCCAGTTTCTATTCCAGTCTATATCCTTAACCAAAGACCTCCAGTAAAACTTTCCTCTAGACGAAATTTTCCTTTTACATTGGAAAATTTGTCGCACAAAGCTATTGTTACGTTTCTTATCTAACAGACTAACACCTTCTAAAAGCAAATTTACAGTTAAATGTACAGTGACTTTTAACTAGGTGAACTAAACCAGGTGATATTGCCTTAACAACTTTATTAAATTCATTAGGAGGAGTTGGAAAACAGTGGTAGGTTATAAATGGTTCATGAAAGAATGTTTCCTCCATCATCAAACAAGCAAAGGATCCATTTAATATTATTTTGAAACCAACTTTGGAAAAATAATGATTTGTTTCTGATTGTATTATCTCGGTTATTCCATAAGAATAATCGGTGGGGAGAAACATTGTGAACATAACGAAGCTTCCAAGCAAGCAGACATTGCTGGTGGAATTTAGACAAAACTAAAGATGGCTTGTAGGGAAGATAATTAAATTTAAGAAGAAACAAAATACTACAGATTTTGTAAAAAAAAAAAGTAGTTGGGAATAAAAAAAACAAATAGACGTTGGATTGGTTAGGCATCTCTTTATCCAATTAATTTTAAAAATATATATGGTGTCAGAAAAATCTAATAAATTTACACCCCCTCTGCTTTACTTTTAGAAAGAACTACCTTTTTTAATTTAAGAGGTTTGTTCTAGATAAATTTCAAGAAAACAGTATTAATTTCTTTGGCCACTTTGTTTTCAACAAATAAAGATAAAGTCGGATATACAAAATGAGAAAAACCCTCTTCCATATAATGACAGGTCCCATTGTAGCCAGCAATTAAGAATATTTTTAGTTTTGCTGATCCTAGACAAAAAAAATTCAAGTGCTGTCTCACTAAAAGATTTTTAATAACATAAATAAATAACCATTTAATTGTGGATTTAACAAGGATATCTTCTATATATTCCTAACTCAAATTTTGAACAGGCATTATCTCACATTTGGAGATATTCAGCTTTAGACCAGAAACACTTGAGATATCAGAAATTAAATTTAAAACCTTTCATACGTTTGAGTCATCTTTTAGAAATAAAGTGGTGTCATCTGCCAATTGTGAAATCTTAATCTTCCATTCAAAAACAGAATTTTTTTTCAAATCTTGATTTTGCACAATGCTTAAGGACTAATAAAAACTAATAAAAATGAAAAGGAAGAGATTGGAGAATCCTGCCTAATACCACACAAAATATCAAATCCATTAGAAGTATTAAAATTAACAATCACTTAACTATTGATTCCTTAGCCATAGTGTTAACAAAAGTTTCCCTAAATCCAAATAACCTCAATGCTTTAAACAGAAACTGGTGGTCAACCGTATCAACGGCTTTATAAAAATCAAGAAAAAGAATGAGACCATCTGAATGAATAGAATCAGCATAATCGAGCAAATCCAAAACTAATGTTATGTTATTAGAAACATGGCGGCCTTTTATAAACCCAGACTGAGTTTCAGAAATAATAGAATCAAGATTTGTTTTTAATCTGTTGGCAAAGTCTTTTTTTTTTCAGTATTTTTTGCCACTCACAGTTGCAGTCATGACATGATAAATTTCTCCTTCATTTTCCACCTCACACCACATTTTGTTTTCACACCAAATTTTCACATTCACACCAAATTTTGTTTAATTTATTTAATCCACTAAGACTAAGTGTTAAAAGATTGAATCACTCCTATATGGACGTAATGCGAAATAACATTCTGATGTTTTGCAGTAATTAATAGAGTTCACATACTCTGTTAGACATATTATATTAAAATGATGGGCAAATCTGTATATTTCAATTGGGTTCCTGCCCACGTAGGTGTGGAAGGCAATGAAAAGACGGACATTCTGGCCAAACAAGCTCTCAGAATTAGTGAAGTAGATCTAGAAGTCCCATTGAGTAAAGCAGAAGCTAAAATCAAATTAAGAACAATCAGTATGGCAATTTTACTGGGATAACAATGAAACAGGCAGACATCTATAAAATATACATAAACAAGTCGTTGCTGGAAGGATGGAGAACAGAAATCATAGAGAAGTACGATTATAACTCAGATGAGAATAGGTCATACTGGACTCAACCATATTTTATATAAAATAGGGAAACACCCAACTGGGCAATGTATACACTGTAATCAACAAGAAACAATATGACATGTTTTATTCCACTGTAGTAAATATAATAAAGAACGAAACAATCTTATTCAATCAGTTAAAAAGAGCAAACTTCAGGATTTCACATTGGCTGGTTTATTAGGGAATAAATCTATTGAGGTATATGACGATATAATTAAATTTGTTTAAGAAACCCATTTAGAGAAAAGAATATAAAGATAATATAATCTAAGGAATTAATTGTTAGCCCACTCCACCCCACATTTTTTATTTATTTATTTATTTTCATTTCCTCCCCCTCTTCCCTTCCCCTCTATTTTTACACTTCAGTTATTGTTCAACCATTCCAGTCGGAGGCGGTAATGCACCTACAAGTCTGGTTGCCAACCGCCAGTAAAACCCAAAGAAAAAGAAGAAACCGATTAATTAAAGTTTTAGGTTTTTCATCTGATACTAAATTATGAACCTGCTGTTGACAATATTATTTTAACCCTTTATACAACAAAGTATTTTACTCACAGTAATGAGGACTATTGAACAACGTGTGTGTAATAAGTGTCTTACTGAAGCTTTAATTTATTAAACAGTATAATGTCATTCCATTATAAGTTTACATCACTATATATAAGAAATGGAGTACTAGTTTTAATCAGCTAATTTGTGGCTATAGTTTCTTGCTCAGACTTATCTGATTTATTTTTGTTAATTACTCTCATATAAGAAGAAGAGAAGTTATTTTCTTTCTGTTCATTGTTTTATTCATTTTACATTTTTATTGCTTTGTTAATTTTTAACAGGATAAAGTGTCCAAACGCAGAGAAAAACTATATAAGTCATGACTAGTTTGAAGAACTAAAACATAAAGTAGTAATGAATACTTTTTTACATGAAGGACACCTATTTTACCTCCTTTTCTGTAAAGTTTCAGCTCCAAACACTCATTAAATTATTTGTTATACCTGTTAGAATGTTGAGATTTTTGCTTTAAACACTTAGTCTTAGTGGATTAAAGAAGTTTTTTTAATTATTTTAAAATGTTTAGAGTAAAGGTTTTGATCAACTCCAAATACTGAATATATGTGCGTCTGTGAGAAAGTGGAAACGAAGGAGAAATGTATCAATAAGTCAAGACTGCAACAGTAAGTGGCAAAAAAGGTCTAAAAAAACTTTTATTTTGGCGTGGCGTGTGACGTCATAAGCCTGCGCCGTTCAAGCGCTGTTATTCAACTGGAGAAAGGTTTGTTTTAAAGCGTTTACACTTATATAAACCGATTGATTAAAGTTTCAGTTTTTTTTTCATTTAGTGCTAAATTATGTACCTGCTGTTGACAATATTAGTGTCAATATTAGTATAGTACAAATGTTTGAATAAAGATAGGATAAACTTTTTGTCCTCAAGAGGAAATTTGTCTTGTGCAAAAAAAGTGCTACACATTGCTGTAAGCAGACAATCAGCTAAATAAAACAAACAAAACAATTAAGAATATACATAAAAAATAAAGTTTAAAAAAAAGGTTACAGGGATGTGTGTAATAAGTTTAATAACTTAATTGAAGGTTTAATTTATTAAATAGTATATTGTCATTCCATTCTGAGTTTACAACTATATAAGAAATGGAGTAATGTTACTAGCCTTAATCAGGTCATTTGTTTGTGGCTATTGTTACTTGCTCAAACTTACCTGATTTCTTATTGTTAATCACTCTCCTATAAAGAAACTGTTGAAGTAAGTGTTAAGAAGTTATTTTGTTTCTGTTCATTGTTTTATTTATTTTAAACAGGATAAAGTGTCCAAACGCAGAGAAAAACTCCTGCTGAAGCGACTGATCTCCACACTGTTATAAAGATGGCGTTTATTAAAGAGGAGAGTGAAGATGTGAAGATTGAAGAAACATTCACAGTCAAACAAGAAGATCTGCAGGAACAAACAGGTTGGTTTTCATTCTCAAAGACCAACTGAGTCATTTAATCCTCATTCAGATATTTTAATAATAAGAATACTAAATTAAATCCATCTTGCAGCTCTGAGTGTGCTGCCTAGTTCTCCTAAATGCACACAAGCACTCATGAGCTATGTTTCCATCCAAAAATGCAAATAAACTTTATGCACAAAACTGGATTATTGCATAAAAGATATGCAAATAAAGCTCAATGATTTCCATTCAAATGAAATCAAATCACTTTTATTGTCACATCATCAGCAGCACGTGTGCTATGATGAGTGGAAAGCTTAGGTGCTGGCTCCAGACAGTACAAAATACAGACAGTACAAATACAACAACAGTGCAAAATACAGACAGTGCAAATACAATGACAGAGTCAAAGGGAACAAAATCATCACTTCCTGATTAACTGGTGCCAAATATCAACAGTAAAAATGGAATTTGCTGCGATAAGAGAAGCTGGATCAATAGCTGCGTTTCCACTATCTCGTCTAAAGCAAGCGAGACAGGGCGAGCCAAGGCCAGTCGCGTTTCCACTGTCACTTCCTGGGCCTAATCGAGCCAAAGCGGGGCTTTCTCGGGCCCAGCGGCCGGCCTTTTTTGGCCCGCCGAATACCTTGGGCCAAAGAGGGCCAGCTGGGGCTTCGGGGCGGAGTGAAAGGAGAGGCAGACACTAGTTTTCCGATCGCACACGAGTACATGCACCAAACAAATAACCAAATAAAAAAATAAGGGAAAGAAAACATCTAGCCTTTTAGTCTGGGGTCTTTTTGCGTATGATCACCCTTATGTTTCCCTTTTAAATGTAAGGCTGTTGCATAAAATAATAAAGTTTTCATTTATAAGTGACTTTGCTCCTTGATGTTTCAATAACACATAATAATATTTACACCATATTAAAGACACAACAGACAGTAAAGGTTTTTGAGAGTTTTTGTCAAGTTTAAAAGGTGTTTGTGCGTGTTTAGATGCCTGTATGTGAATGTTAGACCGAGCAAAAGAGCGCTCTCTCACAGCTCTGTTGATGCTGCGAGCGGCTTCTGTTTTTATTTATTTTGAAGATAATACACAACATAAATACAACAGAAAAACATGAAACTTTACAAATTTCGTGTCCATTTTTGTAGACTCAAAAACAATAGTGTCATATCCTAATAAAATAGCCTAAGATATATTGAAATAATTTAAATAATTACAAATATCAGATATAATAAAATCACATAAAATAAATAAACCAATATAAAACAAATAAAATCTATTTATAATAATTTAGGTAGCCTATAAACAGTACATAAATCAAACCATTTTAAAGCCATATTAAACTTTCATTTTACAAAGGCCTATCTGAAAAAAAGATTTTAGATATTTTCTAAAACAATAAACACCGGAGGAGGTTTGAAATATTATTTATAAAGTATATGGATACGATGATATTAATCAAATCATGTAAACAGAGCATTTAATGGGTGAATGAAAGCAGAAACTAGGCTACCTTTTTTTTCTTTCATGCATGCATTATCCGCCTGATTCCGGCTGAAGTGGGCGGGTTGTGTGACGTTTGATTCGGGGGAGATTCTGGGGGCGGGGTTTGCATGACACGCTGCGAGGTACTAGCCCGACAGTGGAAACGCGACATGATTTCTGCCTCACTGCTCAACCCCCCTTGCGATTGGCCCGGCCCTGCCCGATAAAAGCCCTGGCTTGCACATGCCCGACAGTGGAAATGCGGCTAATCTTTTCTTCATCTAATAATTGACTTGCGCCTCAGAGGGTAATCCTGAAACGCAGTGAACGCGCGGTGGCGTTTAAAGGTATCAGACACGAAGATGCTCTTAATTCTGGAGGTCATGAATAATATAATAACACTAATACTTAAACTGTAAGGCGTTAAAGAATGACCAAAACAAGAGTTCAGATGTTTTATAATGTACTGAGCTGGCTGGTTTGTCCATTCATACACATTTGTATCATCACATGATCTCTTATAACAAAATCACATGACCTTTTTAATGCACATACTGGAGTTTGTATCGTGTTTTCCATCGTGATTTTTCATCTTTTCTTATGGAATAAAACGTTTATCCAACTCAGTTATGCGCATACGCTTTTTTTTTTTTTTTTTTTGCATCATGGTGTTTCCATAAACCGTTTTTTTATGTGCATAAAAATAGGTGGATGGAAACATAACTATTGAAAGACAGGAATGAGTTTCTCTCTTGTTACTTGTTCTCGTGTCTTTTGTCATTATTTTATTTATTATTAGTCTCCCATTTTCTCTACCTTCTTAAGGCTATTGCTTTTCTTGTTCTCCTACTGTTTGTAAAAGTGTCCTTGAGCACCAGTGCTATATAAAATAAATAAAAACTTAAACTGAGCTGTCGATATTTGACCTACAGTATTCTCATAGAAGATATCTGCTAATACGGTGATAGTGTTGGCTTAGTACTTTCCATTTGCATATGTCACATTGATCCAAATTAACTTTTTTCATCGACCTCTTTATTGGTTCTAACTTGTTTCTAGTAGTTGTTACTAGTTCTCACAGATAGTATTAGAGTTAGAATTACATTATTATTATAATAACTAATTACCAGGCCTATTGTGTTTAATCAGGGTTTCTGCGGGGTCTTAAAATGTCTTAAATTCCAAAATCAAAATTTTCGGCCTTAAAAAGTCTTAAATTTACTGAAATGTTGTGTTGTAGGTCTTTAATCTTTTTAAACAAGTCTTCATTTTCCTTTTTTATGTTTTGCTGCTCAATCTGGCCAAAACCCACACAATCACCATCAATCCATCTCAATAAAACTTTCAACTTTTTTAATTCAAAAAGGTCATTTTAACTCTATTTGTCATAAAGGTTTAAGTATTTTCCTCACGATAACATTTGTTTAAATGTGCACCATGTATTTACTGCTGAAGACATCGAGGACAGATTGTTGTGTAGATTTAGTTTGTTATAGTTTTTAAAACATTTGTTCATTTTTAATTTTTATTTAAAGAAAGTTTATTTAGGAAAAAAGTGTGTGGATACAAGTAAAGCTTGCATGTTATTACACACAATTTAAAATCTTTTGCTAAGAAATATCTATAAGATATATTTTTTTATTAATTTATTATTGTATTATTAAATGTATTAAATTATCATTTTTTTTAATAGGGCAAATTAAAATCTTTTTCATCTGGGGTATTTGAAAAATTCATTAGCCTTTAGCCCTTTATGAGTCTAAAATTGTCATATTGGTATTAAAATTGTCTTTAAAAGTCTTACATTTAACTTGGTGAAACAAGCAGAAACTCTGGTTTAAAGTATAAAAAAACATGGATGCCCCCAATATTAAATATGCTGAATAAAATGGACACTAAAATAATTAATTATTATAAAACATTGTACAGAATTCTAAACTATATGATGTTGCTGCTGGGCGACGTGAGACTAAATGAACAAACTATTGTGGAACAATAACGTTAAACATTGCGCTGACTACAACTGGCCAACAAACTAGTCTAAAAATGACTTTTGCTGCTTAAGAAATGAATTACAGTATGCTGATGATATGCAGAGATTTGAGTGTAAAGTTTGTTAGTATTGACCATATTCTTCACGTACCAGCAGGCGCCGCCATTTGAATCTTTTTGCTCTTGACTTTTATTAAAGAATTAATTTTAGTTACTAAAAACAGTGTTGTGCTGCTGAGGCATGGGACGGTAACCATTTTCAAGGTATAACACAGTTTGAAAAAAGACAAGGTTTTAAAACCGCCAATATTTTCTGCTGTACCATTCATCGCTATATGTAAGTTTGTTTTTTTTACATTTTGTTTTAAGATTTTCAGGACAACAGTATCTCCAGCAGAAAAAGATCTCCAAAGATGCCATTTTAAATTGTAAAGAAATCTGTGTTTATGAAACAAATGAAGACAACAGAAGTCAAGTATTCAATTGAGTGATTCAGCCTGACATGTTTACTGCTCCAAAATACTTTAAAAGTTTCTCAAAAGAAAATGTTTTGTGTTCTAAGAGGAAAAAGTGTCTGTTTACCCAGACATTTAAAGGAGTAATCACAGTACTATGAAACTGTGATATTTTTTATTCAAGGTTATCATACTGTCAGAATCTTATACTGGCCCATGCCTAATGCTGCTTGTTGTAGCAAAGTCATATTTTCTGATTTTATTGTTTTTCTTTGTATGTATTGTCATGAACACACTTGTTTGCAGAGCAAGAGAGCCTGTCTCTGAAAGAGAGTTTTCTGTCGGTCTCCTCCCTTTATAAAAGATAAAGCGGTATTTCTCACTTAGCCTTACATATTCAGCCACCTATTTTTATGTGCATTTTGGATAGGCTATGAGCATAAAAAATTGGTTGATGGAAATGTCATGATGCACATAACTTTTGAAATATAAGCATAAAGACACATGCGCATAACTGAGTAGGACAAACTTTTTATTCGATAAGAGAAGATAAACTCACGTAAACAACGCAAGCACTTTTACTGAACAAATTCCAGTATGTGTGTTTAAAAAGGTTTGTTATAAGAGATCATATGATGATGAAAATGTGTGTGAATGCACAAACCAGCAGGCTGAGAACATTATAAACATCTGAAATGTTGTTTTGGTCATTCTAAAACACCTGAACCGTTTCAGTATTCATGTTATTATATTATTAATGACCTCCAGAGCATCTGTTCTCTGCGTCTCATTGCTTCAAAAGCCAACACGTGTTCATTGTGTGCCAGCATTGACCTCTGAGCTGTCATTTAAAGAAAAGATTCATGTAGCTTCTTCTACCGCAGTAAATTCTGTTTTTACTGTTCTTAATTGGGGCCTGTTAATCAGGAAGTGACGATTTTGTTCTCTTTGATTCATTGGATGGAAACGCAGCTTTATTCGCACATCTTTTATGTAACATCCCAGTTTTGCGCATAAATTTAATTCGCATTTTTGGATGGAAACATAGCTATTGTCTACATTTCAGTTACACAAAGAACAAAGTCACATAGCAGAATGGCTTGTCCTTTCTTAATGAATAATTAGCTTAAATTCACTAACCTTCAACAGACATGTACTGTAACTAGATTAATGGGATTATTACTAGTTCTAAAAAGATTTTTTTTAGTCCTGCTTACATTCTAAATGTCATTTCAACCTCTACCACTTGATAGGGCTGTGCAATTAATCGAAAATCTGGTTTCAATTTCGATTTTGGCTTCTAAAGATTATGAAAAACCATTAATCGAGATAAACGATTATTCCATCATATAGAACACACACCTAACGGCATCTTAATCTGAGCGCTTCAATGGTCAAATGCATGCAAATTTGGGTCAGAGTGCTGTGTTTAGTGAATATTCGTATTAACCCTTATTTGTGTAATAAACAAACAAGTTGAGAATCAAAAGACATGTGAAAGAGAAACCATTATTCTTAAAGTGACAGTGCGCAATATTCCTGCTGCCGACTGTTTTTAGCATTAATCAAACAACAAAAAGAGAAAATCCCTCACTGCTCTTGACTGAAAGACTTTTGTAGCTCAAATGTTTTTCTGAAATTGAAAACTCTTGAGTATTTAATCTCTCGGTAAATCAACTCAGAGTTCAAGTTTAAACTCTGAGTTGGTTGAACCTCCTTACTGAAACAGGCCCCAGGTCATCATGACATGATTGACAATTGTTGCTGTTTGTCATTATACTCTGTTTATCCTGAGAGCTGATGCTGAGTATTCTTAGGGCTTTTCAAACTTCAAATTGTTAACCCTGGGTCAATCTATACCTGGAAAAATTCTGGGTTATCTGTAGTCACCTTCCACACTGCTCATGCTATACCTGGGGTTAAAAAATAATCCTGGGTGTTCATTAACAGACAGTTCACATTCATAAACCCTGGGTTATCATTATTATTTTGTATATTTATGTTGTCACTGTCCCTGATTGGATAAACCACAAGTAACCTTTTTAGATGGCATTTCTGCATCTTGTCTGGTATATACAATGTCACCAAGTAGGTCTTCAGCCAAGCCTCAGGGCATACACAAAAGCAAGAAAACAAAGACAAAAGTACAAATAAATGAAAACAAGTAACAAAGTATGTCATCTTGCCATCTCCTCATCACTCCTAAGTTTTATACAATAATGCAAACTTGCAAATATAAGCGTGAATTATGCATACTTGCTATGGACTTGCAGGACTTGTCTCAATCGGGTCTTCCAAGCAAGCGGGAACACAACATGAGTAATCTAGAGCACTCGCATTTGATCATTTGCTTTAAAAAAAAAAAGAGCTTGGTTTTCCTCTGACCCCTAAATTAAATATTCTACAAGGTATATGATCTGATTTTGAGCTGAAACCTCAGACACATTCTTGGAACACCAAAGACTTATTTTACATCTTGTAAAAAATGGGTAATTGTAGGAACCTTTTAAAGGGATAGTTGATGCAGAAATGAAAATAGCCTCACCATTTACTCTTCCTCGTGTGGATTTAAACCTTTATGAGTTAAACACAGAAGATAAAAAAATAAAAATAAAAAAAACGCTACTGGCTTACTGTATTCCACAATAAAGGAAAGTTCGAAACCACATGATGGAGAGTAAATGGTAAGGTAATTTCATGTTAAGACATTCAACATCCATTTCTTGCTTGTCGCTTTGAGTCTTCATACTAAAGCTAACTTTTTTTTTTTTTTAGACCGGATGGTGCTGAAGGAAGAGACACATGGACAGAATGAAATAGATAAGAAACAGCAGTTTGAGAAACCACAAGAAATAACGACTGATGAAAAACCCACACTGACTAAAAAGACTTCATTACACGGAAGACCTCGGAAATCCAAATCTGGGTGTAATTTCAGCTGTAAACAGTGTAGAAAGAGTTTCAGTCAAAAGTCAAACCTTGATGTTCACATGAGAGTTCACACAGGGGAGAAACCTTACACCTGCGAACAGTGTGCACAGAGTTTTAGTCAAAAACAATGCTTAAAAACTCACATGAGAATTCACACTGGAGAGAAGCCTTTCAGCTGCAAGCAGTGTGGAAAGAGTTTTAGTCAAAAGCCAAACCTTGATATTCACATGAGAGTTCACACAGGGGAGAAACCTTACTCCTGCGAACAGTGTGGAAAGAGTTTTAGTCAAAAACAAAGCTTTAAAACCCACATGAGAATTCACACTGGAGAGAAGCCGTACACATGCCAACAGTGTGGAAAAAACTTTCGTCATGCAAGAAATTTGGCAGCGCACATGAGAACTCACACTGGAGAGAAGCCTTTCAGCTGTAAACAGTGTAGAAAGAGTTTCAGTAAAAAGGCGAACCTGATTGCTCACATGAGAGTTCACACTAGGGAGAAACCTTACACCTGCGAACAGTTTGGAAAGAGTTTAGGTAAAAAACAAGACCTTTACATCCACATGAGGATTCACATGGGAGAGAAACCTTACACATGCACAGAGTGTGGTAAAAGTTTCCCACATAAAAACACACTCAAACACCACATGAGAACTCACACTGGAGAGAAGCCGTTTGCATGTGCTCAGTGTGGAAAGAGCTTCTCAACCAAAGCTAGCCTCAAGAACCACATGAAGGTTCACACTGGAACCATAGTGTTCACATGTGATCAGTGTGGAAAGAGTCTCACACGCAAAGACACCATTAAGCGACACATGCAGACTCACTCAGGAGAGGATCGTTTTAGATGCAGTGAGTGTGGAAAGGGCTTTAAGTGTAAAAGAAGCCTCAACACTCACCTAAAGCTTCACAATGGAGAGCAGAGTCCGCAAAATTGAGGCCTTGTCCACACAAACACGGGTATATACAAAACGGCAGCTTTTTCATGTAGTTTGGCTGTTCGTTCAAGTGAAGTTTATTTAAAAACTACTTTCGAGAGGATCACATGCTTAGCTAAAACATGATTCACAAATTAGATCATCCTTTGTTATAAATTAGTGTCTCACTGACAGTACTTTGGTTTAAGTTACTTGAAGACGGACAAGTTAACATCACAGCTGAGGAACTGCACTATTCATTGTCTTCAATAAAGTCTTCACCCCGTAAGACCTTTGGTCAGCTTACTTATTTGATGTATTAAGAGTCCATCTATACAACTGTTAAGCCAAATACAGCAAAATCTGACAATGTGCTTTAACTTATTATGAACCGATCACCATATTTGTGCAGGGTTTTACACAATTCTTTCATGTTGTCTTAACACAAATTAAGGTAACTTAACACTTTTACCAAATTATTTGGACTGAACATTAAGTTGTCCCAATGAAATCTCAAGAATTGTGTTATTTCAGCACATTTTAGTTAAGTAGTTTGAACAAGTAAAAAAAAAGGTTGTTTTTTCCCCCGATTTCTGTTTCATGGAGATAAGACTTTTTCTGCACATTTTTAAACATTATAGTCTTAATAACTAATCTCTAATAACTGATTTATTTTATGTTTGCCATGACAGTAAATTAGACTAGTAATTGTATAAGGATGGTTTGTTCTGTAGACTATCGGGAAAATTAGCTTAAAAGGGCCAATAGTTTTGTCTTTAAAATGGTTTAAAAAAGAATAAAAAAACTGATTTTATTCTAGCTGAAATAAAACAAATAAGACTTTCTCCAGAAGAAAAAAATCAGACATACTGTGAAGATTTTCTTGCTATGTTTAACATAATTTAGGAAATATAAAAAAACATGAGGGGCTATATATATATATATATATATATGCTTTACATGCATAAACAAGGAAGAGGTAATACAATTACAACAATAGGCAGACACAAATATAGGAAAAAACAGTGTTTAGTAATGACAATTGTATTTAAAGTAAGAAAAAAAGTAAATAAATACAAATTAAATTAATAATAAAACAAAAATAATTATATTATAAAAGTTTATGCAATATAAACATTCAAAGGGTACAGAATTTGGGTAAAGGGTACAGAATTTGCTGAAAAAAGTAGCTGCTTTATATATATATATATATATATATATATATATATATATATATATACACACACACACACACAGTACTGTGCCCTGGTCAGTTGGCATTTCTGTGTGGAGTTTGCATGTTTTCCCAGTGTTCACGTGGGTTTCCTCTGGGTGCTCCGGTTTTCCCCACAATCAAAAAAAAACATGTGGTACAGGTGAATTGGGGAAGGTAAATTGTCTACTATATGAAAGAAAAAGAGAAGGGGGGGGGTGTTAATAGGTTTAGATCTGGAGAAGGCTTTTGACAGGGTAGAGCATGATTTTTTATTTGCAGTTCTTAAGGAGTTTGGATATGGGTAAAATTTTAGAAAATGGGACTTCCGGTTATGGTAGCGTTAGGGTAGGACGTGGTGTGGAGAGCCCCCGAATAATTTCACTTAAATAACACACCGTAAAGACCTTTACCGTAACAAAAGTACTTTATTTAACATAATAAGTTGATGCACTTCGAACATTACAACAAACATGCCGAATCCAAAGAAAACTGACAACTAAAAGGATGATACACACGACACGAGGCAGCCACTATCTGAACCCCCGCCCTGGTTCCACGCAGAAATGGAGAAAGGATTTCTCAGAATCCAGGAGTTAATTGACGGACGCCTGAGTAAATTTGCAGAATCCGTGGAGAAAATGGGTAACGGACTACAATCAATGAATCTGAGAATGGTGGAGGTAGAAACTAAACAGAAGGAGACGGAAGAAGCGGTAATGAGCCTTCACAAAGATGTCGCGGATGTTAAATCGGCTGCTGACGACGAAATCAAACTGCTGAAAGATAAAATTGATGAACTCGAAAATCAATCTCGTTGCCAGAATTTACGTCTTGTCAGTTTCCCAGAGGGAGTGGAAGGTAGGAATGCTGTGGATTTTTTGAAGGAATGGCTACCTAAGATTCTGGATCAGGAGGACGAGTTCTATGAAATTGAAAGAGCTCACCGCACTTTGCAACGACGACCGGCTGAAAATGGCAAACCGCAGGCCATTCTGGTTCGATTCCTTCGGTACGGAGACACACTTAAGATCCTCAATGCGGCCAGAGAAAAGGGCAAGCTCACCTATGGCAACTCTAGCATTATGATTTTTCGGGATATGTCATCCACCCTGTTTAGAAAACGACAAGAATTCAGCGCACTCAAAAGACAGCTACGCAATAACGATGTGTCTTACGCCGTACTTTATCCTGCGACGCTGAGGATTCAGCTGCCTGAGGGACAAAGATCTTTCAACTCCAAAGCATCGGCAGAAACTTATCTTCGACAACATCATCCACATCTGCTTGTCGGATAAGACACTAAAACTATATCGACGAATTCCGGATCATCCAACTCTAACGTAACCTGAACAATCACACTAAACTGCTAAAAATATACGGTGGATCACTTTTCTCTCGGATGAACATGTAAGAACTTAACGTTAACTCTGTCAAGAGTGATCTTTATATTGAAAAGCTGGCAAAAGAAATGTGTTCATATTTTTGTTCAAATGTTTACTAACTTGCGTATTTCGGATTTATCACTTGTTCGTAGTGATTAATATGTTGTTTAAAGTACATAATATAAGTATTTGTGGGGATATACATAACTTGTTAGGGAGCTTTTAGTTTGGACAAGAAGTCAAGGTCGACTGTATGATGCAGTGCACACTCAGTCAAGGGGGTTTAAAGTTTCACACTTCGTTTGGGGAAGTGTTGGTAGGGGGGATTGGACAGAACACATATTCGATTTATTTAGGTGTTGGGCTGTTTAACCATATGTTCTCAAGGCACTCAGGAAATAAAACATTAATTTATAGTTAATGTCAGATACACTGAAATATAAATATGTGACTTGGAATGTTAACTGTTTAATTCAAATACTTAAAAGAAAAAAGTAATATTATACCTCAGAAAGCATAATATTGGAATTGCCCTTCTACAAGAAACACACTTGACTGATCCCGAACATCTAAATCTTAAAAAGCAGTGGTCTGGACAAGCTTTTTTTCTTCCGTCACATCGCAATCAAGAGGGGTGGTCATACTTATTGATAAAAACATTCCCTTTAAAATGGAATCTGTTGATAAAGACAAAACAGGCAGGTAGATTATTTTAAGAGGAACGATTGGGATGCAAAGAATAACCTTAGTAAATATATATCATCCTGAAATGGAAGGTGTCGATTTTATTCATAATATATTCTTTAAATTTGCTTGCCCAACTGCAGAGCTGATAATTAGAGGAGACTTTAAAGGGTCACGAAACACCAAAACACATTTTTTGAGCTTTTGACAGTCGTATATGTGTCCCACACTGCTAAAAACACTATTAGGACACCTATATTTCACTAAAAAGTGTAAATTGGTTGTTTTTGCGTTATTTCAAGCAAATTCGTACTTCCTGTTTGAAACGGATTTTTGAAGCTGCGTCACGGTCATGAGATAATAGCGTGTATTCCAGCGTGCAGACTGGACGTCTGTGCCAGAGTGAGTCTTATTACGTCTTACAGTGTGATGCATTAATGCATGAGTAAGGCTTGGTTCAAACCAATCAGTGCGCTCTATTGTGCAACTTCATTAATATTCATTACTGTCACAGTGTAGACGGCAAAGACGCCACGTTGTGTTGGCAAAACAAGCGTGAAGTGTTGCTTTTATAGTTTGCTGCAGTTAAGTTTCGTTTTCATTTTCTCTCTGTGAGAGCTCATCTGGATCACGCGTGGATTAACAGTGTACGCGACGCGCGACAACAATAACTTACGTGTCTAAGGAGGATTATTGTTTACCTGAGAGCTGTTCTCATCTGCAAACGCTGAGATCCAGTTTGTAGTCTCCTCTAAATAAAGACGCGGCTCTAGTTGCTGGTGATTGTCCTGTCTCTACAGATTTGGTAAGTGAGCGACCAGTGCTCTTTGTTTATTCAGTTCGTATCAAACAAACTATTGCACCGAGTGCAATAGTTAGCACTAACAGTTACAACCAAACTATTACCTCGTGTTGGATTGTGTGACCGGAATAACACACGCGGCTTTCTGACGCTACCTGTCGTGTGTATCTAAGTTTCCAGGAAATGCTGAGTTTTTTTTTCTCTCATTCGCCGTGCGGTATCAAACATTGCATGAAAAATACACGCTTAGAGCAGCGCCTCGAATCAAATATCACGTTTGTCAGGAGGGACATTAATGAATTCCCTGAATGAAAGAGCCAAACTGCAGTTAAAGTCCAACATTTAATAATTTGGCAAATAATTCGACTACAGATGTCCATGTAAACACAGTCACATTGTCCGCTGTGGGTGTGTGTTTTGACTCTGAAATTCAGCGCGCCCAAATAGACACTCCCATACCAAGCCGCTTTTCTTCCTCCGACACTCCCCCCTAAACAGAGCTGGACACGCCCACTTTTCTGACTTTTTCCAAAGTAGAGGTGTGAAAACACACTGCTGAAACGAGGGGGTTTCATGGCCCTTTAATGTAGTTTTGGACCCAGTGTTAGAAAGGTCATCTACTAAACTGTTACCCTTAAGTCAAGTTGCTAAAGCTCTAAAGTACAAAAGTACAAACAAGTTTTAATTTAATAGATGTATGGAGATTTAAGAATAAAACAAAAAAAGAATATTCCTTCTACTCGCATAGGCATAATAATTACTCCAGAATTGACTATTTTTTTGTTCCAAAAGCGAAGGATTATTTAATTGAATTGTGTGAATATTTACCAAGAATATTGTCAGATCATGCCCCGTTACTTATTTCAGCGCAATGCTCTCTGGAAATGTCTAATTATAAGCTTTGGAGATTTAGTGGCC